AATTGTCATTTTCACATGGCTTTTTACCTCATATAGATATTTTTAACACCAATTAAGAATTTTTTCTTTAAATTTGGATAATAAATTAGTTCCAAATTTTTAAGGTGATTGCGGTTGTGATTTTTTTTCTAAATAGCGATTGAAAACATGATTGTAAGTTAACTTTTCGCATTGGCGAATTATTTTTTGGAAACAAATGGATTATCTTTGATATAAAATCTCCATAAACGATCCTTATCTGCTCCCGCATAATCAATATTAACTCTTTTGGTGATAACAATTTCATCTTTGCTAACTTCTGATCCGTCTTCTAAATAAATTAAATCGCTAGTAGTTAAATCGACCCCATTGAGACTTATATCAATATTTAATGCTCGGCATAACTTTCCCGGTCCATTAGTGTAATAATGATATTTTTTTCTTTCGTCTTGTTGAGAAATAACTGGGATAGTATGATGATTCAACGGCTCAGCTGCTCGAATTAATACCCCTTGAGGGTCTCCTTCCGCAGAAGAAGCAATATTAAAACAATAATAAGTATAGTAAATAAGATAAACATAAGCACAACCACCGCGATTATACAAGGCAGCGGCTTTTCATTTTGACCTGTTTTCCTGGTGAGCATGGCAAGCTCGGTCAATTTTTCCAATGTAGGCTTCGGTTTCGACAATTTTGACTTTGATAAGTTGGCCGTTAATATTTCTAACTAGGATTTTGCCGAGTAATTTTTGAGCCAATTCTACGGCACTAATGGTGAAAAAGTTGGAACTGGTGATACGCATAATAATTTTTTTATCCAAAAATTAATAAAAATCAAGCAAGTGGACGAACAAGATGTTTGCTCACGCACAAGACTTTGAAAATTTTTCATATGGTTAAAGATACATTTAGAATGCTGAAATTAACTGGTGGGAGAAGAGGGAATCGAACCCCCCTGGTACTGATCTACAGTCAGCTGCATACCCAGTCTGCCATTCTCCCGCTTGAATTGGCTTATTTTTTTTGCCAATTTTCAATTTTTTTCTTATTGCGGTAAGCAAAATAGCCAACCAGCCCTAAAAAAATAACTCCTATTATTCCAATAATTCAGAATAGTTGTTTAGCGTTTTCTTTACTGTCTGCAGGATTTGCCCTTTCGGGTTCTTGGATAACTTTAGAAGACTTGTTTTCTCATTCATTATATAATTTTAACCTTTGTTCTAAGTGTTCTATTTGAGAAGGACTTAAATTATTTCTTTCTTCTTTTAGTTTTTTTTCTAAATGCTCTTTTATTTCTTTATGGTGTTTCTCAAATTCTTCTTCGGTATATTCAACGTCTCCGCTCGTTCACATTATTTTTTCTGTTTCTTTACTTCCAATTTCAGCGGCAACTCGACCAACCATTTCTTCATTCAAAACACTCAATTTATTTAAGCCTTTGGCTTGGTAATCATTTTCAATTTTTTCTTCTCTTTCAACTACTTCTTTATAACAACTATCACAAAGGCAATATTCATAAATATTAAATTGCCGTCCTCCTTTTTCACGAACAAATTCTCCGCGACAAGCTTGATGTTTCTTTTCGCATTCTTGGGCTAAACTTTCGAGTTTAGGTGCGATTTTTTCTAATTCACAACATTTTTGAAAAGTTAAATTAAGTTCTTGGCGAAGACCAGCCGAGATATTTTTCGCTAAAAATTTTTGAATAATTTCTTTTTGATAATTAATGCTTTTTTTTACCCTTTTTCCCTCTTTTTCTACCCCATTTTCACCAGTGTTGACATCACTAAAATCGTTAATTATTGAAAAATTTTTCTCCTTCGAGTTTGCCAAAGAACAGGCGTCACATTGAGGTGCTCACCCGTGTCGTTTGGCTAAACAATCATTACAAGCCTTTTGTCAGCCATAGCCTTCTTGCTTTTTGATTTGATTTTGACAATCGCGAAAGCCGCATTTTCTTGTAGCGTTTACCATATAAATTATTTTACAAAATTTTTTCATTTTTTATGAATTATTCTGCTAATGATAAAGAGAACACCAGCAATAAACAAGATAAATCAACTACTATTAATGCTTCAATTAAAATTACTTTTTTGCTTTGAGTTTTGGATTTCTTTTTTTAATTTTTGTGTTTCCAAAGCAGCGGTTTGCCGAAGTTTATTTAATTGCTCTGCTATTTCTTTAGTTTGTTGCTTGCTCTGGGCTAACTGTTCTTCCAAACTTCGAATACTGTCTTTATTGCCGTTCATTTTAGTTAGTTCTTGGACTAGTTTTTCTAGTGTTTTATTGTTGCCTTGAGTTGGTTTTTTATTATCATTGAAGTAATTTTTTATGATTTTTGTTTTTTCAGTTGGAATTTGCTTGTATTTTTTAGATTTTTCTGTAATTCTCAGTAAAATTTCTTCTCGAATAGCTTCAACTTCTTCAGGAGAAGTGGCGTTGTCAATTTCTTTTTTGTAGTCGTAGTTTTCTAAAATATTTTCATCTTTTTCGAAATTGGCATCATTTAGAGCCCTTTGGATCGTATTGAGAGTACGAAATTTGCTTGCTTTCAGTTTGTTTTGGTTATTGTTATCAACAATGTTTGCTAACTTATCTTTTTCTCATTGGAGAGTTTTCAATTCTTTATGAAGAAGTTTTAATTGTTCTTTATCATCGTTTGTGTGGTCTTCTTGATCAATATTCGGAAAATCGTGAGGAATGATTTGGTTCACTAAGTCAGAAGCAATTTCAATTTTGCTTATCGAATGTCCTTGATATTCTTCTGCTGCTCATTCTTGCAAACAATGACGAAAAATGTTGTTCTCTAATGCTGTTTTTAGTTGTCGCACGCCTTTCTCGTGAGTTTTACTTATCAAAATGTCAAGAGCTTCATCAGTGATAGTCAAAAGAGGCTGGTCATCTTGATAAAGATTGTTTTCTTCAACTAGTTTTTGTAAAGTATTAAAAGCAATTTCTTTCTTTTGTTCGCTGGTATATTCTTTTAATTCAATAATTATCATCCGCGAACGAAGGTAATCCGGAATTTTTTTTGGATCATTAGCAGTAGCAGCGAAAGTAATTTTGGAAAAATCTAGTTCTATCTCTAAACAATGTTCGTGAATATTCTGGTTCTGAGCAGGATCAAGGAAAGGATTTAAAGTGTCATGGAGAGAAGTTTTATCAATTTCATCAAGCAAAATGAATGGATCAGATTTTTCTCCTTGGATTAAGTATTTGGCTATTTTTCCAATTTCGGCTCGGTTGGATTCGGTTGTGCTTCCTGTCAAGGTTGAGGGTTTTGATTCGCCGCCTAGTGCTAAAAGGAAAAAGGGTTTGCCTAATGCCTCAGCCAAGGTTCGAGCGAAGGTAGTTTTTCCTACTCCTGGTGGACCAACAAAACAAAAAATAGGAAAATTTTGCTCGATTGAGCGATTTTCTAAAAATGATCTAGCGTTAATTTCCCCTAAAACAAAACTTTTTTGTTCTTCAAATCCTACTTGTTGGTTGAGTTTTTCTTGTGCTTCTTGTAGAGTTAAAGGTGTAGAGACATTTCTGTAAGCCTTAATTAAATTCTTCGCAGTTTTTAATTTGTTTGCTGAGAAACTCTTTCCTTTGACTTCCTCAATTACCACCACTGTTAAGTGCTAATAGTTCGTTTAATTCGTCTATTTTTTGTTCCAACCTTTCGATTACTGTGTTCATGTCCTCTTAAAAAAATTGTTGGATTCATAATCTTGCTACTTTTTGTCTTCGTCTGGATTTTCTGTTTTAACGTCTTCTGCTGCCTCCGCTTCTTCTTTTTTTGTTTCCTCTTTTGGCATTTTTTTCGTTAGTTCATTGGAGAGTTTTCACAATTCTTCAATATTTTTCAATTGTTCTTTAATTTGTTCGTAATTTCTTGTTTCAACAGCGTCCTTTAAATTTTGATATAATTTTTGAAATTCTTGATATTGGGAGTCATCTTCTTTGAAATCTTTACTTTTTTTGAATTCTTCCATTTGTTTTTCAAAAGTATAAAGATAACCTTGAGCTTCGTTTAATTTTTCAATATTTTCCCGCATTTCTCGGTCTTTTTCCTCGTTTTCTTCGGCTTCTCTTTTCATTCTTTCCACTTCTTCTTTGCTTAGACCCTGGGCATCCTTGATAGTTATTTCCTCTTTTTTTCCGGTTTTCTTGTCCTCAGCAGAAACCGAAAGTATGCCGTTGGCATCAATGTCAAAAGTAACCTCAATTTGGGGAATTCCTTTCGGTGCTGGTTCAATACCAGTTAATTGAAAAGTCCCAAGGAACTTATTGTCCTTGGTTAATTCTCTTTCTCCTTGGAAGACGCGAATATCCACGCTAGGCTGATTATCAGCGGCGGTGGAGAAAGTTTGGGATTTTTTGGTTGGGATAGTAGTATTACGGGGGATTAATTTGGTGCAAATTCCTCCCATGGTTTCAATTCCCAAAGAAAGCGGAGTAACATCGAGTAAAACCATTTCTTCTTTTGATTCTCCACTCAAAATAGCAGCTTGGATTGCTGCTCCTGCCGCTACTGCTTCATCGGGGTTAACCGACTTGTTCGGTTCTTTGCCGAAAATTTTCTTTACTTTTTCTCGCACGCTAGGCATACGGGTCATTCCGCCGACCAAAATAACCTCATCAACTTTGGCAATTCCCGCATCTTTCAGGCAATTTTTGCAAGGTGTGGTTAGTTTTTCCAAAAGGTCTTGGGTAAGTTCCTCCAATTTTCGGCGAGAAAATTTTTTACTGATGTTCTTCGGACCAGTAGCATCAGCGGCAATAAAAGGAAGAAAAATATCTACCACTGCCTGATTAGGGTCTTTGGTTTCTAAAAAAGAAAGTTTATGCTTAGCATTCTCTGCTGCCTCTTTCAAGCGTTGTAAGGCTAATTTATCTTTTCGGAGGTCAATATTTTCCTCTTCCTTAAACTCTTCAATTAGTCAATCAATAATTTTTTGGTCGAAGTTTGCTCCCCCTAAAAAGGTATCGCCATTAGTGGCTTTCACTTCAAACACTCCTTCGTTAATTTCAATAATGGAAATGTCAAAGGTTCCGCCACCAAGGTCAAAGACCGCAATGGTGTGAAGTTCTTTTTTTTTGTCAATTCCGTAAGCCAAAGCCGCTGCCGTTGGTTCATTGATAATTCGCATTACTTCTAAGCCGGCAATTTCTCCCGCGTCTTTGGTAGCTTGGCGTTGGTTGTCATTGAAATAAGCCGGCACAGTGATTACTACTTTCTTGACTTTTTTTCCTAAATGGTCCTCGATTGTTTCTTTCATTTTTTGGAGCACAAAAGCCGAAATCTGTTGAGGAGAATATTCTTTTTTGCCGACTTTGATTCAAGCCGCCCCTTTTTTGCCTGAGATAATTTGAAAAGGAGCAATTTTGCGGAATTCTTGCACTTGCGGGTCATTAAATTCTCTCCCTATTAGACGCTTCGCCTCAAAAATTACTCGCCCAGGCTCTTTGATGGCTTCGCTTTTAGCGGATTGTCCAACCGCTACTTTTTCTCCTTCTTCATTGAAGAAAACGACGGAAGGAGTAGTATTTTCCCCTTCCTTATTTACAATAATTTTTACTCTTCCGTCCTGCATAATTGCAGCACAAGAATTAGTAGTTCCTAAATCGATACCAAATGCTTTAACCATATAAGTATTTTTACTTCTTTTTGCTGATTTTTACTTCTGCTCGACGCAAAACTTGTTGGCGGAGCCGGTAGCCCTTTTGAAAAACTTGCAAAATAGTTCCTTCCGGATAATCATTGTTTTCTTCTACCTCTAAGGCATGATGAAGTTTGCTATCATAGGTGTCTTTTTGAAGATTAATCTTAATTTCTTCTACCCCCTCCTTTTTAAAAAAATCATTTTGAACTTCGGCCAAAGTCATTTGAAAGCCAGTGAGAAATTGTTCAACTTTGGGATCCTGATAAGCTTGACTAATTTGGATGGCTCTTTCGTAACTGTCAAAAAATAGCAAGAGTTTTCCAATTAATCTTTTATTATTAAATTCTAGCATTTCACTTATTTCTTTGAGATAATTTTTTCTTTGGTTATCTAAGTCGGCTAGTAAACGGAGATTTTTTTCTTTTAAGGTTTCAATTTCTTTTTTAAGGTTGGTGATTTCGTCAGCAGTATTACTGGAATCAGAGGACATTTTGCTAGCAGTTTTTCTTACTTCGTTTTCTAATTCAGAAGATTTTTCTTCTACTTTTTCTTTAATTTTTTTAGCTTTGTTTTTGGTTTTTTTATTATCATTAGGCATTTCCATATAAAGTATTTTTATTCCTTTTAAGCAGGATAGTTACGCAACTATTTTGGGTATTTATTAATCCTTCACATAATTATATTTAGGTAATTTTGAATTAGTTCTAAATTGTGTTTTAAACCCTTTAAGTTGGCAAATTTTGGTTGATTTTGGACTTCTGGGAAAGAAAAATTAGCCAATATGAATAACCAGAACAAACTTAAAATTTCCCAAATACCTCCGCAAGTTGGCTGTTATCTTTTTCAAGACCGAAAAAAAAGAGTAATTTACGTTGGTAAAGCGAAAAATCTACGCCAAAGAATTGTCCGTCATCTCCAGGAAAGCCAAAAATATTTAGGCTTGATTGCTGACTGGGAAATAATTTTAACTAATAATGTCAAGGAAGCTCTTATTTTAGAACAAAATTTAATTAAAAAACACCAACCCCGTTTTAATATTTTATTAAGAGATGACCGCAACTATCCCTATATTAAAATTACTGAAGAAGAAAATCCCCGTTATTGATTAGTAAAAAATTTTAATCCTAACAAAAAAGATCTTTATTTTGGACCTTTTCCGGATGGCACCAAAGCTGCGGAAATTTTGCAAATTCTCGAAAAAGTATTTCCTTTAGCCAAATGCAAAGGTAATTTAGGCAAGCCATGTTTAGACTATTTGTTAGGACAATGTTCAGGGCATTGTTTTAAAAAAGTTGAACCAGAATATTACCAAAATACTAAACAAAAAATTATTGATTTTTTTCAAGGAAAAACACAAATTGTGAAAAAAGAACTCCAAAAAACTTTGCAAAAGAGCATCCTCAATCAAGAATTTGAATTAGCCAAAAAAGAAAAAAAAATACTAGACAGCCTCAATTTTTTTGTAAGCAAGCAAAATATAGAATTTCCTCATCATGAAAATTATGATTTTTTTGGTTTTTATTCCGAAAACGGCTTGTTGGTTTGTTTTTTTTTACTCTACCGCTATGGAAAGTTAAGTACTACCGAAGCCCAGATTTTTCAAGTCCAAAAAGGCTTAAATGAAAAAAAAGAATTGTTACAGTCTTATCTCTATCAATTTTATCAAAAAAACCTCTCGCCACAAGTTTTATATTTGCCTGAAAAATTAGAAAATCAAGAATTGTTGGTTGAGAAATTTGGTTTTGCTTGTCAGATACCTCAACGAGGAAAAAAGAAAAAGATTTTAGCCATGGCTCAGCAAAATGCCTATCACATTTGACAAAAAAATTGTGTGGAAGGTTCATCAAAAAATGACAAAACTAGCCTTTTAGAAGAATTAGGAAATTACTTACAAGTTGACACTCCTTATTTTTTGGAAGTCCTAGATATTTCTAATTTGTTCCAACAAGATGTTGTGGCTGGATTTTTGGTTTACCTCAATGGAGAAAAAGTTAAAAGTAAATCAAAAATTTATCAACTAACTGCTTCGGAAAAAAAGAGTGATGTTTCCTGAATAATTGAAGCCTGTCGGCGACATTACAAAAAGCGTAAATACTTGCCACAACTTTTATTGGTAGACGGCGGAAAACTCCAAGTCAAAGCAGTCTTGGCTGTTCGCCGAGAGTTAAACTTAAATTTTGCGGTGGCTGGCTTAGCCAAAAACGAAAAGCACCAAACTGAAAAAATTATTACTAGTAATTTTCAAGAATTGCCTTTGCCAACCCACGAAGCACTTAAAAATTTTCTTGTTAATCTCCAAGTAGAAGTTCATCATTTTGTCATTAATTTTCATCGTAAACTTCACCGTAAAAGTGTTTTGGAATATTAATTTTTCCCAACGACTAATTTTGCTATTTATGGTTTTTCTTCTCGCAGAATTTTTAATTTTTCTAAAATATCTTTTTTTCGGTTTTCCATGGCTTTTGCCAGACGTTGCTCTAGCCAGTTCTTGATCTTAGTTTTGCTACTGGCTTTTTGCCATTGTTCTTTTTCTTTTTTAGCGATGCCGATTTTTTGGAGAATTTGGCTTTGAGGGTCAGCAAAGTCTTCGGGTTGATAGCCTAAATTAATTCATCGAAGGATGGTTTCTTCAGAAATTAATCCTGCTTTGTTTCATTTTTTTTGTTCATCGAAGTCGATTGTTTGCTTAACAAGTTTTGTTTTTGGTTTACCACGACGAGAAGTTTGGGGTTTTGCTGCTGATTCCGGAAATTCCCGAAAATATTCTCAAAATTCCGAATTTAGTAATGTTTGTGCCACTTCTTCCCTTTTGAGAGGAGTAGCGAAAAATTTCGAATATTTTTCAAAAAGCGAGATTTTTTCTTTGTTTTTACTTTTAGGTTTTTTTAGTTCTTTTGCTTTTTCCTTAGTGGCTAAGCGATCAATTTGGCTTGAATTAGTTGGAACTATACCGAAAAAAAGTCGAACAATTAATTCTTCATGAATTTCTAAGCAGGCAAGTAGGTCATTAATTTTCCTTTTAGTTTCTCTTTGCTGAATTTGTTGTTCCATTTTTTCATCGCCATCAGCCAGAGTATCTAGCAAAGAAGTAGTTTTGTCATCCTTTTCACCAGTTTGATAATCTCTGTCGTAATAAACAATTCCTGTTGAAGGAGTTTTGGTAGGAATTTTTCTTTCGGTTCCTTCTTCCTCTCCTTCGAGAATTTGCGGCTTTTTTTTTGGTGTTGTTTGAGGCAATAATTGACTTCTTTTGATAAAACTGCGAATACGTTGGTGAACTCAATAACCGGCATAACTAGCCAAGCGATTTTCTGATTTGGCAAGATCAAAGTCTTTAATTGCTTGGGGTAAAGAAATAACCCCTTCGGCAGTTAATTCATCAGAACTAATTTCGCCTTGTGGATAATGAAATCCTTTTACCATGTATTTTACAAAAGACTGGTTATAATAAACTAAAAGACGAGCGGCTCTTTCTCTTTCTGCTTGTGTTTTCCCTTTTTGGGCTTGTCGCAAAAGTTTGACTTCTTCTTCTCGAGTTAAAACCTTAATTGCATCATTTTTATTCATAAAAAAAGATAGAAAACTCTAAGCAAGATCCAATCAACAGTTTGTTAATCTATAATACCCCTGCTTGTCATTCCTATGATATATATAATTTTACACTAAGTAGCACTAAATTTCAAAAAACCCACTCCTTAAAAACTAAATAAAGAAAATATTAGCAGAGGTTTAAAAAGACTGCTTTTGATTGGCTTAGGAAATTCCTTGGGTTTAATCATTTGCTTAAATTCAGTTTTGAACTTATTCCCCAATCCTTTAATTTTGTTTTTTGGTAAAGCGGCAAAGGTTTAGTATTCAAATAATGTTCCCATTGTCCTTTTCACTCTTTAATTTCTCGATCTAAAATCTTCTGAATTTCTTTTTCTTGTTCTAATAAGTTTAACATTTGGTGAGAGTACAGCAAAATTTACATTCTAAGCGAAAAGTGTTGTTGTTAAACATAATTCCTCCTTTCTGTCTCTTGCTGAACTTCCCATTGACTAGTGATAGTTTGCTGGCTGTTTACCATTCTCTGGCTTAATTCAAGCAAAAGTTCGGCATTAGTATAGCCTTTTAAGGATGGTTTACTAACTGCTTGGTTGGGTTGGTTTTGAAAGATTTTGCTATAGTCTTGATAAAGTGTGTTGAAATCATTGTGAATATAGCCCAAAGTAGTATCCGAACTGCTATGCCCCAATTGTTTCTGAATGGTCTCCAATCTCCCGCCTCGATTGTATAAGTTAGTGGCAAGAGAACGCCGAAAAGTATGTGGAGTAATTCTTTTACTAATTCCTGCTATTTCAGTTCTTTTCCAGAGCAATTGATTAATTAATACTCTCGGTAATGGTTTTCCTTGGGTATTGCTAAAAAGATAAGTTGAGGAGTAGGGATTTTTCCAGTTTTTCAATAAGAATTTAGGGATAAATACATGCCTTATTTTATTTCCTTTGCCGTGAATTCTTAACATGCCATCATTAAAATCGCTTCATTTAAGCTTGACTAACTCTCCTACTCGGATATCAGTATAAAAGAAGAGATCCAAAATTAAGTTATTTCTCTCATAAATTCAATTGTTTTCTTCAAATCTAACTTGTTTTAATTGAGTTAGCTCTTGTTCTTTAATAGTCTGGCGAAACTTCTTTTGCACTTTGGGAATTAGTTTGGCTACTTTTTCTCAATGAATCTTTAATTGCTTGAATTTGGCGTAAACGGTTAAGGCTTTAACCCGAGTATATAAGGTAGATGGTTCATGTTTAGTTAAATTGGATTTGAGATAGTTATTGAGATTTTCAGTGTTTAATTGTTGGTTTCCGTAAACTTTAACTGCTTGGAGATAGTTGCTAATGGTATTAGGAGCCAAATTTTGTTTTTGGAGCCATTGGCTATAATTGTTTAAGTCTTTCATACTATTCCTTTAATTCCTCCCAATCTATTAAGTAATAACTTCCTTGGTAATTCCGGCAAGAAAAGAGATATTTTTTGCCGACATA